GGCAAGGTTGGAGGTGCGTGCGGCGGTTGCTCAATGAATGGATCAGGAGTAAGGGTGAGTCCAGTGAGAAGATGACGGTCATGGAAGATTTAATTTGGTGCAAACATGGCAAGGTTTGGTTCTTGATGAGGAGAAGGAAGAGATTGCTATCGATCTTTAAGAGGATTTGGGTGAAGAAGTCAACAAAGGGCAAGGGTTTGCGGTCGTCCAACAAATCCATCAAATAAATTTCCCTATTTCAGAGATTTCATGGCATCAATATGGAGGCCAGCAAGGGACGTTTCGATAAAAGAGAGGAAAAATTGATTATTTTAGAATAATCTCAATTTTAGGGACTTTCCACCAATAATGATCCGATGTGACCAGCTACAAATACATTTTTGTAGTTTCTAAAGTGGATAAGAAGAGATATACTTCCTCCGTTCTTAAATAAATGCAACCGTCAACATTTCACATTTGCCGAGGCACAACTTTGACCATTAATATATATATTTCTTGATTAGTAAAAAAATTAAAAAAATAGATTTTGAAAATTTACAATGAGACAAATTTAACAATATTTTTTTCAAAAATATATATTAATATATTAATAAATAAAACGTAGTCAAAGTAGAACATATGAATAGTGTAAAAGTCAAAGTGTTGCATTTATTTAAGAACGAATGTAGTAACAAGTAATCCCTATAAATAATCTCAACTTTTAATTTTATGCTTAATTTATATTTAAAATTCACTTGTCATAGGATGTAATATCTAGTCATGGACCATTATTAGCGGACGGTCTATAAAGTTGGGATTATACAAAAATAACCAATAGTTGGGATTATTGTTAGCGGACCGGTAATAGTTGGGATTATTATTTTCAATTTTTCCTAAAAGAGATTGGGGAGAAAAAGTATATTTTTACTTTCTTTCATGAGGTTGATATGAAACGCGCCCTTGAGAATGGCTCGTAACTTTTTGAACAAATTTGTTAGTCTGCATGCTTAACAGGATGGTGAATTGCCTCAGTCAGTTCCGCTTAATCAGGCTAATTTTTGGATTCATGTGTTTAATTTATCTATGAGTTCTTTACTGTGAAAATTGCAAAAATAATTGGGAACTCATTGAGTAAATTGATATTCCCTCCGTAACATTCATATCTTCCCACTTTCCTTTTTTGGACGTAACATTTATATCTTCCCATTTCTAAATCTTCTCATCATACCCTCAATAATTTAAAAAATAATACACTACTACACCTACTTTTTTTGGATTTATCCTTCATTCCATCACATTATTTCACCATCTTCTCATCATACCCTCAATAATTCATACATCATTTCACTATTCTTAATCTCACCCACTTTGGAAGTGGGAAGATATATCTGATACGGAGGGAGTAGATGCTAAGGAAAAACAGTTTGAGGAGATCTGGAGGCCATAGATTGGTTGAAAGTTTGTCTGGATATAAATACGTCTCTGTACAGGAAATTAAAACTGGGTAAAGATGAGAGAGAATGTTTTTGAGTGGACCTTAGATATGAGAAACTTCCAAATTTCTACTTTGTGTGTGGTCATGTTGGACATTCAGATCATTTTTGTATTATGAAGTACAATAAGGGAGTTCGGGAATTGATTAAACCTTATGGTCCATGATTGCGAGTTTCGGGTGTTAGAGGTATGGGAATGGGGGGAAAGAAATGGTTGGTTCAGGCAGTCGGACAAGGTGAGAGGGGGATAGGTACAAGGGATGGGTCTGTGGAAGATTGCATGTGATGGGGAATTCTCATGAAGAAGATTTAGCAATGGTCCTGATGCAAGGAGATTAGGAGAAGTTTCTAAGAGTTCAGAGGGGGCTATAGTTGCTAATCGGGTATAGGAGTCCAAGAGGAGAAGAGTGTTGGACTTCCATGAGCAGGATGGTCAGGAAGCGGGTGCAATTATGATTGATGGAGCAAAAAACATGGAGGAGACGGGTCTAGATTTCTAGACTCGCCCAGCACTTGTTCTCTGATAAGATCCATCACATTTAAGTTTGAAATATCTCGGTTTCAGTGAAATTCACTTAATAGACTTGGCAACTTTACACTGTCTGGACTTTTGCAAGTGGGCACAACACACCCCCTTCATTTAGCACAAATAGGCGCACGAGATTAATTTCATTTTGTATGGGAGGTTGTATGTGAACTCGACCCATATCTGATTATGTCTCAAATTCTATGTTTAAATTTGATCTGAAGGATCAAAATCAATCATTTTTTAACAAATCAGACAAGATTAGTAAATGTTAATCAAATTAAAAATATTAACATGTAAAAATAACATGGTTGTAAGAACACAAATGACTAGGGATGGACCGGTTCCGGGCCGGCCGACCCGTGGCCCGGCTAGGCCCGGCACTGTTTGGAGCCCGGCCCAGTGGCCCGGCCAGAGACCGGTACGGGTAGGCCCGGCCCGGGGGTTACATAAGGCGGGCTCAGGTCAGCCAAATTAGGAACCGCCGAACCGGCCGGGCCGGGCCTAGTTCAGGCCTTTTTTTTCAATTTTTTTTGTTTTTCCCAGGTTGGGTTGGGTGTTTTTGGGGCGTGGGGTGAGGGGGGGTCGGGGGTTAATTAGAAAAGCAAAAAAATGAACCGGCCCGGACCCGGTGGATAACCGGGCCGGTTCCGGGCCTCAACTTTCCCCAAAAAAGCCCGGTCGGCCCGGCCCGAGGCCCGGCGTGGCCCGGGCCCGATCCATGCCTACATATGACAAGCATGATCTCATATTCTCATTTGCTCATTTTTAGGCTTATACTCTTCGCCCCTTATAATTAGGGGTGGACATATCAGTTTGGTTTAATCGAATCGAATTGTACAGAACCGAACTAAGCCGAATCGAAATCGGATCATATGCAATTTGATTTGAGTTTGGTGGTATTTCTTCCAAATCTTATTAAACCGAACCAAACTGGACCCGGTAAAACCGAACAAAATCTAACCGAACTAAAGAAATTACAAATCCAATTGGAACCAATCCAAACCAAATTAAACCAAAAAATAGTATGACTCGTTTTGAACCGAATCGAAACCGATAAAAATCAAACCAAAAATTGATTTGTCCACCCCTGTTATTACTTTGTTTTTTTTTTCTTTCTTCGGTTTTTACACACAAAAAAATTGTCGCCTCCTTTTTATGAAGAACTTGTTATTCCTTTCTTCAATATAAAATTCAACTATACAATTTTTATTTTAATATGAAAAAATTACACAAATATAACCACTTTAAACCCCACTATCAAAAATATGACTTCATGCCCTACATTACTCCCATGTTGTACAACGTGTTCCTTAGCATTAGTCAGTTTTTTGTAACTCCAAATAATATTGGTAATATTAATGTAAAAAACTCTTTTAATAGTTGTTGTGAATGACAAAGTTTTAATCGAGAGAGGTGAAAATTTCCTACAAACTCTGTCTCACTTAACTTGGTCAAGTTGATAACTTGATATAGGGTGTGAAATTATAATAATAATAATAATAATTATGTAATTGAGATCTGTGCAAAGAAATGAAAAATGTCGAAATAAACAGAATCCTAAATTCACTATTTTAAAAAAGAAGTAATTACATTTTTTGAGACAAAAAAAATTAACATCCAGAGATCATCCCATTACATCTTTAGGGGGTGTTTGGAAATGATTCTGCTTCTGCTTCTTTTTTAAAGCAGAAGCAGAATCATAATCAGTTTTCAGAAGCTGTTACCTCCCAACTTCTGAAAAAACTGATTCTGGGAATAAATTAGGGACTGTTTGTAATTGCTTTTGCTTAAAAAAAAAGCACACTTTTAGAGATGTAAGGAAAAAGTGATTAGTATTAAAAGTTGATAGTGTTTGAGAAAAAAGTGATTTTGAAAAGTAAAAGTTTGTAGTGTTTGGTAAAATAAGTGTTTTTTGTGTAATAGAAAAGGGAAAAGCATTTTTCACACGCAAGCCGAGAAAAAGTAAAAATTGGTAGTGTTTGATAAAATAAGTGTTTTTTGTGTGATAGAAAAGAGAAAAGCACTTTTCACACGCAAGCCGAGAAAAAATAAAAATTGGTAGTGTTTGGTAAATACGGAGTAAGTGTTTTTTTAAACCAAAAGCTGAGAAATGTTTTTTTTAAGTTGTTGCAAACACTCCTTTAAGGAGTGTTTGGGATTGCTTTAAAAAACTACTTGTTAGCTTTTGGCTTAAAAAAAGTTGAAAAGAGTGTTTTCAAATGACAGCTTCTGCTTAAATTAATCACTTAAAAGCTAAAAGCTGGAAGCAGTTAGAAGGGTGCTTTAAACTGCTTCTCACTTTTTCTATTACACAAAAAGTACTTATTTTACCAAACACTACCAACTTTTACTTTTCCAGAATCACTTTTTTCTCAAACACTATCAACTTTTACTATTAATCATTTTTCCCAAAATCACTTTAAAAATCACTTTTTTAAAGTTGAAGCAATTGCAAACACTCCCTTAGACTCTTTAAAGCAACAAAAGTGTTTCTGAAATTTCACCCAAACACTCATGTTCCTTATTCGTGAGGAGCAGAATCAGTTTTGACAATCATATTCAAACATCCCTTTACATGTGAAAACTCAAAATGACAAAAAGAAGATTGACGCTGACATCGGACAAAATTGATACAGAGACGGTGCATCGGCCATAGCCCATTACCGTCGACTGGACCTGACTGCTCCCCCTTTTCACAGCGACTTTTCTTCGGCCGCCAAATCCTTCCAAATTGGTGACGGCAGCCGTGACAAAACAACCACCCGTTCCGTTCGTGGATGGTCAACACCCCCCGTCTGTCTCCCGTTTCCACATCGCAACCCCACGGCCCCTGCCTGCGGTCAGCCCAACCCCACGAGTCCACGAACCCTGCCTGTCTCGAACCGAACCGGTGAAATTTACCACGTGTGTATTACTCTACTCTCAGTGGAAATCCGATTCTGACTCTTATAAATATGTCCTCTTCCATGCTCGATCCTCCATTTCTCATCCAAGTTCGGGTCAACCATAGCCGGCGTCCGAACAGGGGAAGCATAAGAAGAACTGAACAAGAGAGTAGCGAATTCGAACTTCGAAGAGTGAAATTCAATACGCTATGGAGTTTTTACCTCCCGGATTCCGGTTCCACCCTACCGACGAGGAGCTGGTGGTGCACTATCTATGCCGGAAATGCGCGGCCCAGTCCGTCGCCGTTCCCATCATCGCCGAGATCGACCTCTACAAGTTCGACCCGTGGCAGCTTCCCGGTACCTTTTCAATTTCACCTCGATCTCTCTCTTTTTTCAATAAAGAAAGTGAATTTTAGTGAGATTCTTTTTACTGAAGTTAGTTTGTCGTTGGGATTTTGAATCATGCAGAGATGGCTTTGTACGGTGAAAAGGAGTGGTATTTCTTCTCTCCCAGGGATCGGAAGTACCCGAACGGTTCACGACCGAACCGGGCCGCCGGGACAGGGTACTGGAAGGCAACCGGAGCCGACAAGCCCGTCGGGAAACCGAAAACGTTGGGGATAAAGAAGGCGCTGGTTTTCTACGCCGGGAAAGCTCCGAGAGGAATAAAGACAAACTGGATTATGCATGAGTATAGGCTGGCCAACGTCGACCGCTCTCCAGCCTGCAAGAGAAACAATCTGAGGGTAATTCATTTAACTTTTTTTACTTTTTCTTATAGAGTGGCCCTCTTCAGGTTTAACTTTTTTTTACTTACGAAGGACTTGTATAATTGTATGTAATTAGAAAATTCTTCATTCTTTTTACCACCTTTTTCATCCTAAATTACCAAGTAGAGAAAAACAGGTCAGCTGTTTGAATTTACAAATAAAGCTTCTTTTTCCCTTACTTAATCTTATTTTAATCAAGTCACACCAAATTAAAGAATTCAAACCGTATAAAAAAGACATCAGACCAAAGTCACCAAACCAAATATTTTATAATAAAAAAAAGATCCACTAAAATTATTACTGAAAAAGTGATGGAAAACAATGTAACTCAGTAACTTCTAGTGATTATAATTGTATTCAAAGTTACTATGATATTGTGAATATGTCTTAAACTTTGAACGCAATATAATCACTGAAAGTTACTAATCACATTTTTGTTCATAACTTTTTTATTTCTAATATTTTAGAAGAAACTTATACTCCGTATTATTTATCAGATAAGAAAATATGATAAAAAACATTATATAGACTTGACAGAAAAAAGTTAGTTCAGACCAAATGAGATTAGAAACATTGATTCCAAATCAGGTTACATTTGCAAGACATTTCAAAGGGTAACACCATTTCTGAATTCTGATTGTGATTTGCGTGTATTGATTGGTAACAGCTTGATGACTGGGTACTGTGCCGAATATACAACAAGAAAGGAACTCTTGAGAATTACTCACACTATGGCGGTAGCGGTAGCAGTTTGGACGAAAAGGAATTCCATTTTCCAGAAGCCGAGGAACATAAGCCCAAAATAATCAGCCCTTTTAATGGGATGCCTAGGCAAGCAGGCATTCTACAGACGGGCTCAAGCTGCTGCTGCTCAGAGCAAATACAATCGTCATGTGACAAAGAGGTCCAGAGTGCCGCCCCTAAATGGGACGACAAAGACGACGTTAATGTCCAGCTACTCAACAACAGCTACTACAATATGGCGGATGATGATGCTCTGCCTCCAATGAACTTCCACTATCCTTTTGCCTCTCAAACGCCCCAGCAATATAATAATGACTCATTCAATCCTTTCCAGTCAGACATGTTTTTCATGCACAACAAGTCCACTTCCTACTTCTGCTTGTAGATACATTGGCTCCTCCCCCCAAATATCTTAATTACCAAACAAAATCAAGAAAAGTGCTAGTGTTTGCTATGATGGAGGGGTAGATTGTGTACTTGGTTACTGGAAAATTTATTGTTTTAATGTATTAATGATACCAAGTACTGTAAGTTGGGAAATTCTTCATGTAAATAAATGAAACAAAGAAGTAAACAACTTTCAGCTCCCATACTCTATAACCTTGCATATATTTGTAAAGTTTACGCTCTAAACTAAATGAAGGTGCAACAATACTATCATTATATTTAGACTTTATTTAGTATGTTCCATCTTAGAAGGTCATCTGAGTATGCAAAAAGATAAACAATCTAATGACTTAAATGTGAGTTTGCATTTTTGTACTTATATGGCGTGGGATGGCTTAATACAGTGAAGTAGTTTCAAAGATTCTACATTCTCTACAGAAAAAAAAAAAAAAAAAAAGGTTCACTTAAAACTGTGCTTACAAAATGTCATTGCTAGTATATATACTCTAATGAAAGCCAAGAACGCCCCTTAAACAATGTTCAGTATATTATTCGTGTAGCATTACTGAGCTTATAACACCACCAACCCATTCGAATCATAGAACCCTGTGATCACCCACACCACACCTGCATCAATTATGAAAACATTGAAGGTCAGTTACTGAAAGATACTTTAAAACATGTCATTTAGCAGCTAGTCTTTACGAGTTAAATTAGGATCAAGTAGGAAAAGAATGGTGAAGAATTGCAAATTATTTGAGTCATCCAGATGCATTATTTCTTTTACAACACTTGGTAATTAAACTGCATATATAGAAGCAAGATCCGGCTAATCCTCATATACAAGCAATGATAGCTTGATTATCAGCTAGTTACAATAAAAAATTATAAACAATAGAATAGAATGCAATGAAACAAAAATTAAAAAAAAAATGACCGTCTCCATCTCTCAATAACTTAGTTTGACTTTAACAGACATTGGCTATGTTTGGATATCAGCGTGTTGAGGGTGAATATAACTGATCTACAATGTTTTAACTTTGTTCACACTGTACAGCTACCATTTACAACTAAAGGTGGATATTTTTTTAAGATAACATAGTAACTTGATAAGATTTATATAATCAAATCAGAAAAGAGGATATTATTTATGGACTTCCTAAAATTTTCAAGAAGACCAAAGAGACAGTGTGAATAAAAAAAGATAGTTGTGCAATTAAATGGGCTAAAGCAAAATACGAATCAAATGGAGGTAGCAGGTAGTACCTGATGCAAAATCTTTGGGTTTGAAAAGGGTAGAAAACTGAAGATCAAGCGAGCTCTACATCCAATTAAAACTCAGATAAAAAATTGTTTTGCATTTGCCAGAAAGGATGCCTGCCACTGAATGTCCTATGGAGGCACAAATACTAAAGTTCTTGATGTGTAGGTTGTATCTGATATTGAGGGCTACAGAGAAAATGGGTTAGCCTATTATTCTCACCACGCCTTTACTTCTACGTAATAAAAGGAACAATTGGAATAACAAACAATGTATACATAGAGCAAACCAAAGCACAAATGTTGAAGATAAAGTCAACTCTGGGCTTGGTTCATGCTTATTATTACTTATATACGATAGTATAAGTGTATAAATAATGCTGCACTTGCTATTTCACATATAAGAAATCATGTTCTCTATTTACATCTGAAAAGAGTTTGATCTTGATGGATTATCACACTTTGCAGCGGTCCATCCTATTGATTTCTTCTCATTGTCATAAATCACCATTTTATTTTGCATGGATATATCTGCAAAAGAAGACAAAAAATGCAACAAAAAGAAAGTATTAGGTTCATAATGAGATACTTGTATTATGCCACACCATCCATTATTACCTCCGATGATGTTAATATCTTGCAGGCCTGCTTCTGTACCATTGAGAACCCCCAAACAGACACTGCCTTTAGACTACACAGAAACACCAACAGTAAATGAGTTGAAAAAAATTAAAACTAAATTCGGAGTAATAAAAATATGGAACAGAAAATGTTAAAGAGATAAAGTTGAATCACTCACTGAGATGATAAGATATGATTCTGGGGATATCTCGAACAGAGATTTGGCCTTCTGTCCATTGGAAAAGCCTAGTGCAAAAGGTTTGAAGTATTGCTTGACATCCTGAACTGTTTTCAAAGGCTTCTTGCCCTTCCAGCATAGTGGGAGAGTGTCATCATCATCCGCTTTTCTCAAAGGCTTGCCACTCAGTCCTTCTTCTATCTACATGCAGAAATGAAATAACAGTCATATATAAATCAAACACTATAAAGAATAGGGGCAGATCACTTGTAAATAAGTAGAGACCAGCCAAAGGTATCAAATTAAATTTTGCACTATAAGATATATGTCAAGGACCCTTATGTGGGACAAATCTACAGCCACCGAAAGAGAGGGCTGCATGTGCCAGGTTGAACCGTTGAAGTAGTCCCCCAAGTATAAGTCTAATAAGTTTCCTTATGTTAGTATTAGTCAGCCTATTATATTACTCCCTCCGTCCCACAAAGAAGTTCTCGATTTGACCTACACACATATTTATGTAAGGTAGAGTTTTGTTTTGACTTTCCAAGTTTACCCTTACTTTATGTCAAATTAAGTAAAAAGTGGGTAAAAAGTAAGGGTAGTTGTGACTTTTGGGATAAAAGTGGTTTCCTTTTATAGAAATGAGAACTTCTTTTTGGGACATCTTTGCGGGACGGAGGGAGTATTAGTTTGTACTCTCTGTGTCCCATAATGTAAGATACATTTGGGTGTGGCGCGTTTTTTTAGAACAAAAGGATTAAGTTGCTGTTTTACATTTCTAGCCTCCAAAAGGTAAGACCTAATAGGACGGGACCACAAAAAGTATAAGGTGAGATGATAGATAAAATGGATAAAAGGGGAAATAAAAAGTTAGTGGAGTATAATTTAGCAAAGTGATCATATTCTTTGGACAACCCAAAAAAGAAAGTGTATCTTACAAAATGGGACGGAAGGAGTAGCAGTTTACATCTCTAAACTATTCTTGTTTTAGAACTCTTGTCTTTGCCTAAATAAGCCTTATTATTCGGACTAAATAAAATATCTTTGGAATATTAACTAATTGTATGCAAGGCAAAGCCTGTGGGTCACTTCATTGCCTTGGGCAAGAAATTTGGTTCTTCCTCCACTAGATTCTTAATATACTATAGCCTTAAACTAAATACTATTCTCATGAAACATTTTTCAAATATTATCAGAGAAGAACAAAATAAATAATCCAACTCACCAAAGAAATGAAAGCTCGGTATGCCTCAAAATGTAGATAACTATAAGAGCTCCCACTATCAAAGATTACAAGATTTTTAACCCCTGTACTAATACCATCAAAACTCAGCTCTGCAACTCCTGGTGAGTAGTGGTTCCTGTCATGTTACATCAGTAGAAAATTCATCCATCAGAATTAATTCAAAGTATATAGATACTACCTCCGTCCCAAAAAGGTTTGCCATATTGACTTTTCTTGGTCAATGTTAGCAAACTTTGGACAATGATTTTAGTAATTATATTTGTACATAATTTATACTGCATATATTTAATACTTTTATGGAAATATTTTGAATAAGAAACATTTTGATATAATTTCCATATTCATAATAATTTGATATTAAAAAATATTGTTGGTCAAAGTGTATTTCCATTGACCAAGAAAAGTCAATTTAGCAAACCTTTTTGGAATGGAGGGAGTAGAATAGAGGGTGGTGTGTATGTGTGTTTCATGCCCATCCCCCCCCCCCCACTGCCTGTATGATTAGATGACATTATTACTTGTAATCATGCAACATTGGAGTCCAAACTACTTCTGAAGCATCATAGACTTGATCGCCAAGGAAGAGATACCCTCCTTGCCCACCCAAACAATGGCCAACAACATTTCGCACCAGACCCATTTTCTTAAGCTGTGAAAGAATGCTTGTTGGTCCTTTTCCCAGTCCAAGTACGCCATCTACTGGATGGTGAGAGTGACCAATTACCTGGTCGTATCCACATCTATAGCAACAAAAAATATTTATTTTTCGTCAAATGAAAAACGAAAAGTAATTTACAGGTAAATATACGAAAGGAAACATTTCCCAACATCAAAAGCTTCTCTGAAAAAACAATGTAAATATCTACAAAAAAAAATCTACAACAGATATGTCAAATTAAAATATTTCCAGCTTGTTTTCTACATTTCATTTCCAAGATATGTTGGACAAGAATGGACATAAAGATAACTTCCCAGAGTGAAACATATATTATGCATTTGTCTCACATATCTTCCCAATTGCTGTTAATAATTGTTGGGAGCATTTAATATTTCTTCAGAACTGTAAGAAACTACTTAGTGTAAATTAATAGACTAACAAATTATATCTATCAAAAACTAGGTGTATTTGAATTTTGAACCAGAGTTTTGGTAGAGAAACTACAAATTAATGTCGTTTTCAGTAAAATATTATATATTCTCAAATGTGAAATTGCAATACAGGCTCTTTTCCCTGGTTTCTAGTATTTTCTATTCATAGTATCAGTTTATCCATGCTCATAATCCACTAAACTACATAGTTTAAAAAGCCCTTTTTTAGGCTCGCCCCAGTGTGAAGTGGTGGAAAAGGTCTTCCAGATTAAGCCTCAAGCGAATGAACTGATGCTAAAGCCTCAGATGATTAAGGACTTAGCTTTGAGGTATTTTGTGAAGCTTAAGCCTTATGTATGTACTCTTCAATGTTAAGTTTTTTCGTATGGTGATAGTTTTTTAATAAAATTCAAACTGGACTTATTATTCCCCAATAACTAGCCGCTGAGACCATAAAAAACCCTAACATATACTACGTATATTGTTAAAATCAACAATTATCATTTATCATCAATTCATCACACAACTCTACTTATAAAGTTCACCGACAAGTCCACAACTACTCTACACTCCTGCCGAAGTGCAAACTTTTCTTGCAAAGGTATATTGAGCTACTATCCCTATTCTTATTTTCCCTTATTTTCAGAGGCACAGCTATTTTATTATTTGAAAAAATAACCGCACAAATAACACAACTTTTCTAATCTTTCTTTACTTCAAATTGCTCCAGAATATCAGAATTTTAAAGCTCCCGCCATTTCTTCTATGTAATTCTCATTTAAAAATTAAACTCTTTCCTCTAGAGGTTTAAACTAATGATAGGGGTGTGTGACACTTAATAATGATTCACTCTTATGTATCATGTATGATTGATAATACTCCCTCCGTCTCAATAAATTCTTCCAACTTTGAGTTGGCTCGCATATTTATTTAGGAAGTGGAATAAAGTGGAAATGTATGGTTGTGGTTGTGTAAGAAAAAGGTGAAATGAATGTGAGCCACACAAATTATCCAAAAAGGGGAAGTTGGAAGAATTTTTTGGGACTACCCAAAAAGGAAAGTTGGAAGAATTTTAAGGGACGGAAGGAGTATGTTTTAAATTGTTAGTAATTTTAAAATTTTAAACTGGTAATGAAGTTGACCATAAGGTTTGAGGCTTACGCCTCGAACCACCTCAAGGCTTATGCCTTGCCCACCAAACTGCAATAAGCCTCAAGGCTTAAAAGCACCAGAAACTTTCACCACAGATCATTACATCAGTTAGCAGAAAACACTTTTAACTTTACAGAGGAATGAAGACCATTTTAAAAAAAAATGGAGTAACATATCAAGGAAAAAACACTAACCCAATAACTAGCCTAGGATCAATCTCAGCCCCACTGGTAAGGCTGAGAGAGAAAACGTCAGTAAGAAGGACACCAAGAGTAGAAGCCCCATCTGCATACTGAACCTCATAATCACATTGTTCCAGAGTCTCACAGTTCTGTTCACCCGACTGCAATGAGGCACAAAGAGGGTCCTTACAGCCAATAAGTTCAGTATTGGGCTTGTATAGTGGGTGAGGTGTCTGCAATGACATACACAATTACAAATAAAACATGAAAAAAAAACTATTGGGAAGCAGAGACAGAGCAGTGAGGAATAATAATAATTACTACCTCCGTCCCGCTACAAGGTTCCCATAGCAAAACGGCACAGTTATTTAGATGATAATTAAATAAAGTACTTCGGATATATATTTTGAGAAATAATTTTAATAGGTATGTATTATAATGTGTTAGTATTGATAACTATGATGCTATAAATGTATTATTTTTAATATTTAATGACTAATTTGTCACTTAAGATTGTTAATTGTTTCCTAAAATGGAAATGGGAACCTTCTAATGGGACGTCCTAAAAAGGAAAGTGGGAACCTTCTAATGGGACGGAGGGAGTATCATGTAATTTCTGACTAAGGATGTTGTAAGAAGTACTACCTTCGTGCAGCGACTACAGGGAGCATCACACTGAAGCCACGTGAGGTCACTGCCAGTGTCAGGATCAAGAAAGTAGGGCTTTGGCGGCGTCCCTATATTGACTTGGGTAAAATAAAAACTGCAATGGAAAGCAGATTTAACAATAGGAAATATGCAATTAGCTTACTAGCCAATCTGGGGGGAAGTACATTATATCTGCTAGAATGGTCTTACTACAATACTGTTAATCCTTTTCTTTTTGACTTATGGCACCTGATAATCAGTGATATCTTTTAGTTCTGTCCAAGAACTAGTCTACGTAATAAAAATGAAATATTATCAACGTATAGTATCATTCTTATATACAACAATAATCTACAGGCATTAGCAGCAATCTTATAAGGTTCTTCTACCAAATAGCACAGCTCAAAATATACGAATTGATGAAGTGAAGAGTTGCATACCCATGGGGATAAACATTGCCGTGAAGTGGGAGTACTATGGAAGAAGTGCGCATAGATTTGACCGCCGACGGTGAAGAAAAGACTCGTCTGGAATCTAGCTTCCACCATTTCTCCGCCGCCGATGTAACAGAAAGCACCGCAAAAATCATCAGCGCCACCAGCTTCATCCCCCCCATAACTCTCCCTATCCCCCCAGTCAGCCTTGACAACCACCGATCAAGTGTTATGCAAGTAAAACATTCAAAACTGCAACTCTGATGACTACCCTTCAAGATTGATTCTTCTCGAAATGTCCTACCCCGGAAGAGCTTGTCTGGATCTTCTTCTTTGGGTCTGGAAAATCGATAGGATTCTTGGGAGGCGTTGCAATAATTTCTTCGTGTAGTCTGATTTTTCCCTTCCCCATTCCCTCCATTAAATACAGGTCAACGACAGGGAGACGGAGTCAAGAGTTCAAAAATTACAGATTGCGGGCAATAATTAATCTACAGAACTACAGAAGTACTTAACATAGTTACTCGGCATAGGTTGGATATTAGTGAGTTAAGTAGTGTTTTGGATTGTTTCTACTTTAAATAAGTGACTTTTTAAATTAAAATTGGAGGGAAAAAAATAATATTCTTTCCGTCCCATTAGATTTTGCCAATTTTTCTTTTCTGGTTGTCCCAAAATATTTTGTCACTTACCTATTAAAACAACTAATTTGTGATTCTGCACATTTCTCTCAACCACACAATTTTTATTATTCTTATTTCTCGCCTACTTTGCATTTGGCAAAGTCTACCGGAACAGAAGTAGTAGTAAAAGTTGATAGTGTTTGAAAAAAAAATGCTTTTGAAAAAATAAAAATTAGTAGTGTTTGATAAAATAGTGAAAAGCACTTTAAACACTCATCAATATGCTTCCGGCTTTTAGCTTTTAAGTGTTTAATTTAAGTAAAAGTTATCACTTGAAAATTTCAGTCAACCTTTTGAAAACTAAAAGCTGAAAAGCATTTTTTTAAGTTTTTGCAAACACTCTCATATTCCTACTCAGTAAAATAAGGTAGACAATTACGTGCACGAGTAGCTCAGTTTGTTGAGTGGTGATAACGTTGGAATAGATCAATGATCAAAACTCGCAACGGTCATGTGGAGGTTACGATTCCTTTGTGTTGAACTAGACTTTTGGTGCACACGGGTACAATGCCTACCATCATTTGGTCGACTAAATCACTGTGACTTACAACATCCAAATGACTTCTCGAGTCGTGGTGTGGGGGCCTTGGGGTTGGGGACTCAACCTTTTGGGACAAGGTAGAGAATTAAACTCAGGGATGGATTTAGGGGGGGGGGGGCGACCACCCCCCTTGGACTTTCAAAATTTTCTACCATATATGTAATATTTTCATAAAACTTTCATAATTTAATTAGATTTGCCCCCTTAGATTTTAATTTTCAAAAGTAAAATATAGTGTTAGATAATGTAATACTTAATTGAAGATTTAAAAGAAGGAACATCTAAAATAATTACATAACTTAAACAAATAAACAATAGAATAACTCGTTGTTTAAGATTTAGGATACTTATTATATAAGAATTCCTAGTTTTGTAATGTTTAATTATTTTTATTAGATAACAAGTACTTGATTTTGTAAAATATATATCAAACAATATTAAATATCAGACACACTAATTACACAGTTTTTAGATCACGTGAAATGAATCCAAAATATAAATGTTTATTGACATTAAATTACGTACATAATTCATTTACTTCTTGCTTTCTAAAAACAATTTATTGCATAGATAATAAACTTTAAATTATTATAGCATTAATACAAATATTAAAATATAATATGCACAATATGTGTGTGTGCGCATGTGGTGCATACTATTCTAAAAAATAATAATATCATACATACTACTATTGTAATATTAAGAAAACTGTTCATGAGTCATGACTCACGAACACCCTCCTTGGTGGCCAGACAAAAATTACAATTCAATAATAACCGATTCATGAGGTTAAACAATGTATGTGACACCACACCCGAACGTCCTTGAAAATTTGATTTAAAAATTCAAAGTTTATGTATTGGATTTCTGATTCCCAAATAATTGTAAAACGATTAATGTTTTACGTAATTAATGATCGATTATTGTACTGTTCGAACTCGTATATTAGTGTCGGGCATGCAAATACTATTTGGGACTTATTAATAAATAAAAGAGCCCAACATTATCTAAATAGTGAATCATAATCTTTCAAGACAATTTGAGGAAGGTCGGACGACCCAAACGTTATTTTGAGCCCAGCCTGCTAAAAATAGCAAGTATTCGAGAATGGCATCCTAGACCCAATCGGGAGTGACCCACACGGCTTATAGCCCAATAATATGAATGACAATATCAAAATAAGGGATAGAATGACTAGGGAAGAATACAAATGCATGTAGTCCCACCTTTGGCATTATTGAGCTAAATAACGGGAGTATGATTTTTCTTCTATAATATTCATCATGTAAATAATTGGGATGATCCTACACATATTGGAGATCAATAATATCATGTAGGGGGTTGACTTGGTCTATATAAATTACAATGAGTACAAAAAGACATCTTTTGACAAGAGGTTAAACAATAGGACCCATTCTTCCATTTTTGGATGTATTGATTAATATCTTGCTCCCTGATGGATAGTCTACCCGGGGGGTATCTTATCCGAGGGGTTATTGCGGGAATAACTAGAGAGAAGTCAGAGCAAAATAGGAGGAGAGAGAGTCGATTTATTAAATGAACTCAGCGTGGTTTACAAGGAGAAATGGGCTGCTATTTATAGCAGCAATAAATGCGATGAGAGGACACGTGTCAGTAATCCAACGGCCGAAGGGTCACATCAGCCTGGTGGCACCGGCAGTGGTACGTCAACCGCATTGAATGCGGTTGGCGGATGTGACGTGGCATTAAATGCGGAGGTTGGCTGTCTCTAAAAGGAATCTTTGGTGATTGAGCCTGTTCAGCCGAAGGCTCCTTGTGTAGCCGAGGGCTCCCTGGTGTGGCCGAGGGCTTGGTTCAGCCGAAGGCTTCTCGTGTAGCCGAGGGCTCCTTGTGTAGCCGAAGGCTCCTCGTGTAGCCGAGGGCATAAGAATGCCGAAAGCTCATGTCTGCGCCCGTTTTCTCCCAGCAGCTTCTTATGCCAGAAAGGCTATCCTGCGAGTTCTGGAGCCTTCGGCCAAGGAGGCCGAAGGCATCCCAGTGTGTGTTCTGAGCTACTTTGAGGCTTGGGCCGTTGTATTTGGGCCTGAGTTGTTCTCTAGGCTCAATGGACCTGTGTAGGAGAAGTAGGAGTCTATGGGCCGGGGGTTCCTGGGCCATATACTCCATCAGGAGTCCCTCACTCCTTTTGCCGAAAGGTACTTGAGGGAAAAGGAGTAGATGTGTTGCTTCTTCTGGAGGTTTCATCATTTCGCTGGGTGCCTTCCCTCAGTCCCTCACAGGTCGAGGGTTTTCTGAAGGAAGGTATTCATGATTTTCGTATGTCTGCCGGGGGCTCCCCTCAGTCCCTCATATGTCGAGGGTTCTCTGAGGGAAGCATAGATGTATTTCCCGCGCGTGCTGTGATGAGGGCTGCTTCATTCCCGCAAGTGACTTGGGGAAAACTTGTGATATCCTGCCTCTGCCGAAGGGTATATTGGAGCATGTACCCGGGGGGTTTCTGCTCTGGTGCCCGGAGGCTACATGCGTCAATTGTAAATCTTTGCATGAGGGAATTTTTGTTTTTGTATGATTCCCGAGGGGTGTATCCCAGTCCCCCACTCCTTCGGGCCGAAGGTTAGTTCGGGCTGAAGGAGTTATGATGTGTTGATGCAAACCCGAGGGGTGATATTATTGATAAGCTAGGTGCTTATGCTGCCGCAGACTTGAAGGCGTTATGTTGGAATGCTTCGGCTGAAGGCTGTGGGAGTGTTAGCCGGAGGCTGCAAAGATGAGCTCGCCTCAAGTTTTTAAAATAGAGCCGTTGGAATAGATCCGTTGGAGAGGGGTTCCACGTGTCAAGTTTTTGGTGGCTGAGAGTGGGCGGATGGCGCCCATTGGTCAAATCGGCGGCATGTAATGATGGATTTTCAAACGGAGGCCCATACACCGAGGCCCATTTCCTATAAATACCCAAAGCCAGAGGTCATTCTCCTTGCGCGATTCTTGTGAGGCGAAGCTCTGTTGAAGTGATTTTTAGAGAGAGAAAGTGTTTTTCAATCAAACCCTAGAATCCGAGGTCAGTTCTTCACTTGGTTCTTTTTCATTCCTTAGCATATTTTGCCCTTTGCCAGCAAGATCTAGCGTTAGAGTCCTGTTAGGACATTAGATATTCCCTCTCTCCCGATTCTCTCGAAAGACAAGCGCCGAAGGATGTCTTCTGCCAGCGATTCACAAGACCTATCGAAGGAGGCCCCGGTGGAATCCGAGAGTATCTCGGACGTGGAGTCATCTAGCGTCCATGCCTCATCCCCAAATGACTCTGAAGTGGCGATGGCTGTACAAGACAAGCTGAGGACGGAGGCTGAAGCCGAAGAATTCGAGCAGGTAGCCGAGGATGAAGAAATGGCCCTCGCGCTCCAGGTGGCCGAAGAAGAGGAAGAGAAGGAGAGGCAAGAAGTCACAGTCGCTGTCCTCCCACTTCGTGGTGCTGGTGAAGCTAGCACCTCCCGGCCCCTAGATCCGGAACCCCTCAGTGTCGCCGTGGGCAAGAAAAGGAAAAAGACGAAGGCTGCACCGAAAGGCAAGCAAACCACCGTCGATTGCGGGAAGCCTATTGGAATTCCCGAGGGGCATTCATGGCTGAATACTGCCGCCCTCGCGCTGAGATCGAAGGCTGATCGGGCAGAATGCTATGTCACGCAATTGCATGTCGGCCCCTCGGCGACTGTAATTGAACCGGGACCCGATGATCTCCTGTTGCGGGCTCCGGAGGGCTGTTTTGCGGTCCACGTGCTGTCGGTTGCCATGGGCCTCCGGTTCCCGCTTCACCCGTTCCTTCTCGAGTACCTTAGGTACGTGGGGTTAGCCCCCTGCCAGCTGACCCCCAACAGCCATTCTTACATAACTGGCTTCCTTCAGCTTTGCCGGGCTCGGGGGGTAACCGCGACTCTGGACTTGTTCTTTCAAAGCTTCAACCTGTGCCGAGGGGGCCACACCAATGCCGAGGGGTTCGCAAATCTGCAACAGCTCGCTCCCTGGAGGCTGTTTGATGACGTGCCCTCATCTCACAAGGGGTGGAAGGACCGTTTCTGCTACATTAAGATGGCGGAAAATCCGTTCCCGAGAGAGCTGCGTAATCACTTCCGGCGTCACCCGAAGGTGGGGAGTGCCGCGCTTCAGAAGGAGGGGAAGAAGATTGCTGCCCTGCTGCCGGGGGCCACGAAGCACGTGACTATTAAGGATTCTACTCTCCCCGAGGATTTGTTGGCTCTTGGCTTCCGGCGATACCGTTTCTTGGGGGAAAAAGACGAGCAATACCCCATTTTCGAAAGAGCCTTCGGCAGTATAGGAGGTAGTCTCCGAAGGGTCATCTTTTTTGTACTTAGGATTTTCGTATTTCCCCATTTCCCTTCTTTTGTAGTTGACCCCTTCGGTCTGACTTTATTTGTTGTTTTGCAGGCGTTAGCATGGACGTTTCCAATTTCGCCGCCCTCAAGAAAAAACTGGCCAAGGAGCCAAAGAAGAAGAAAGAGACGGGGTTTCAAAAACCCGTCGATGAATTCTTCAAGAATGATGGGGCGTCTCAAGTCCCGGAGGGGGAGGGTCCCTCCAAAGCAGTTGATTCCGGTGCTGGTGCCGGGGGCTCCAAGGGTGAGGAGCTCAAGAGGAAGAGCTCTGGGAAGGGCGTCGCTCCCCCGGAGAACAAGAAGCAGAAGAAGGGGGCCCTCGGAAAAAAGGATGCCCCCATTGTGATAGTCGAGGAGCAACCATCCTTGAATCTTCCGACGGATACTCCCCCTCGTTCTCCTCCTTCTCCTGTTGATGAAGGCCTTCGGCCGGCGGAGATCGTTCAATTCCCCATCAAGTCGGGGACCTCCGTTATGCATGGCACTCTACATCCCGTCGGGTTCATGCGAGGGGTGATGTCCTCGAAGGACAGGTCTGTGCTCGCTAGGCTCGAGGATGACATCCTCGACTACAAAGTGGCCAGCTATAGCACTATGGTAAGTTGCCTTTTCTGCTTGCACTTCGTCATTGTTTAGATAGCACCCTCCGGTGTTTCGTTTTGGTGCTAAGCTTTGTCCTTATGTGTTTACTTGCAGGCTGCTTTGGCCGCCTCGGAGCAGGCCCGGAGGGTTGAGCAGTTGAGAATCGCCAAGTGCCAGGCGGATGAGGCCTTGAAGAAATCCGACGAGGAGAAGGCGGCCCTCCGAAGGAAGCTTGCCGATGCAGAGAAGGCCCTCCGGTTGGAGATCGAGGGCATGAAGCAAAGGCTGGAGGATGCTGAAGCCAAGGGGAAGGCTACCGCTGAGGAAGCCGCCGCGGCTGCCGCCAAGATTACTGCCGAAGCTGCCGAGAGTGCTAAGGCCGAAGCGGTGGCCGATGCTAAGAAGAGAGCAGTCGAGGCCTTCCTCGCCGGGGGCTGGATGGTGGCCGACCACGAGGGGTGGGTGGCCTCGGTGGTGGAGCAGAAGGTTGACTCCTGGGTGAGAGGCCCCGGTGCTGAATGGCTTGCCCGAAAGGGTAAAGACTATTATGACGGTGGTGAATTCTTCACCCAAAACCTCGTCTACCGGAGGTTAGCCAGGCACCTCAAGATAGAGCCGAAGAAATTTGACCCATCGTCATACGGCCTCCCGCCTCTGCAGCCCGATGTGAGGGTTCCCCTTCCCGAGGGAGAAGAGAGGCCAGATCTAGAAGATTCTGAGCTGATGGGCGAGGGCGGCAGCGAGGAAGCCGGAGACGATGCGGCCTCAAAGGCGAAGGAAGATGCAACTGAGGAGGCTCAAAAATAGGATCTGCTCCAAGTGTAGCTTTGTAATAGTCCGCATTTTTCGGCCTCGGCCATGTATTGTAATCAAAACATGTTTGGTCACTTGGAATGAATATCTCTTCTCCTAATGGTGAATGTTTTGCCTCCGGGCCTTCTTGGAATGAATTGCCTTTTCTTTGCTTTGAATTTGAATGTATGCCTTTGTCCCTTTCATGTTTGTGTTTGAATGCTTTCCTTCACTTGGATGAATGTATTTTTTCCTTCTTTAGTCTGGCTTCCCGAAGGCCACAAGTTTGTGGACTTAGAGAATTTTCTAAGTACCACTTGATCAGAACCCTTCGGATGTAGAGTAGAATAGCCGGGGGTCGTTGTTGTGGACTTAGAACTCTTTCTAAGTGTAAACCCAATCATGAGCCCTCGGCCGTAGCGTAGGACCATCGGGGGCTTGAAGCTGTGGCATACATTCAAATTTTCTGAGTAAGAACTTGGATTATGTCCTCGGTGACTACGCCCTCGATAGTGGCGAGCCTCCGACTGTAGTGTAGGATTTCCGGGGGCTTGTTGTTGTGGAATCATCAAGTTTTCCAAGTAAACTTGATCAGAACCCTTCGGATGTAGAGTAGAATCATCGGGGGGCTTGTGATTGTGGACTTGGAAAACTTTCTAAGTAAGAACTTTTGTGGACTTAGTCATTTTTTCACGAAATCTCAATAGATACTGTGGTGAATCCTTCGAGTGTGAGGATTGCCTGAGCCCCTGGTGTATATGATTGCTGCGGAGTACGAGACCGGTGACATTCTGCCTTCGGTACGAATCCTCCGGTTCGTGTAGAGATAGGTTTAGCCTGCCTTAGAACTTGGTGTAGCCTTCGGTATGTCACATAGTTGAATTTGATCCAACCGAATTTTGATCTAGGTGAAGTTTTGCCCTTCCTGGGTCTCCGGTGGAATCCTCGTACTCCAAGGCCTCATGCAGTGAAGCCTTCGGCTATGTAGCCAGATGACTTGTTGTTGAGAGATTTTCTTTCGTCCTTGTAAGAGCCTTCGGGAATATATATCCGAAGTGTTGAGCCTCCGGGGAGAACAGTATCCGGGGAGTTCCTTCCCCCCTACACATCTCTCTCTTTTTTTTTTTTTTTTTTTTTGTTTTTAGATGGTGTAGAAGGGGCGTCTAGAAACTTGGTTTCTAGGAAAGGCTTGGCCTATATGGGAGGCAACGGAATGAACCGTTGGCTCCCCCTTCGGGAATGACCTTCCGATATCCCGAAGGGTTTGAGGGTCGTTTCCTCGGCCCGAGACATCGTCTGTCGCCTGCTTCCCCTTGGGAGATAGCACGGAAAGCGCCTCGGTTTTGAAAGTCGTCCCCTCAGCCCGAGACATGGTCTGTTGCCTGCTTCCCCTTGGGGGATAGCGCAGGGAGCGTTTCGTTTGTGGAAGTCGAATCCTGGGCCCGGGACATGGTCCGTTGCCTGCCTCCCCTTGGGGGATGGCGCGGAAAGCGTTCCTGGGAAGGGTTTTATTTGTGTGTGGAACACAAATAGCCGGGGGCACTTGGTACCAGCCGGAGCCGAGGGGTATTGCACCCCCCGTTTTTTTTTTTTTTTAGGAGAGTATGTATAATATGCATAATGTATACATGATCGCGTCCTCGTGGGGTACGGCTTACTGAGAAAACACTTGGTGTTTTCAAAAAGTGATGGGGGTGACCCGTACACTTGGTACTTGGTACCTAGATTGTCGCTCCTCCATCAGAGGGAGAGGCCTTGGGCCTATTTTGGTGGAGAAATGAGGGCTTGGCCACTCATGTGTAGGAGAGAAGAGGGCCTTAGGCCGTTTGTACAATATGTAGGTGATGAAGGCTTGGCCTTTTGATTATTCTTCAAAAACAGATGGGGCCTTGGGCCATTGATCATTTACACTTGTTGAGGATGAGGGCTTGGCCACTCATTGGTAAAACTTCACTAGGTGGTGCACATTCCAATGTCTGGGGATCTCTGTCCCATTAGGACGTTTTAACTTGTATGTCCCCGGTTTGATGATGGCTGAGATGATGTAGGGGCCTTCAAACTTGGGTGCCATCTTTCCTCCTTCGGTGGGTAGACTGGCCTCCCTTCGCCGGAGTACGTAGTCTCCCACCTGGAATACCCGGGAGCGGACCTTGGCGTCGATGTATCCTTTGACTTGTCTCCTATAGTTTTCGGCCCTGAGGAAAGCTTGCTCTCGGCGTTCCGAGATGAGATGAAGATCGAGGGCCATGTTGGCGTCGTTGACCTCGGGCTCATATTGTTCCACCCTTCGGGTCGGAAGGGTCACTTCTGTTGGGGCCTTAGCCTCAAATCCATAGCATAGGGAGAAAGGGGTCTCGTCTGTTGCACGCCGAGGGGTGGTGCGGTAGGCCCATAAGATGTTGTGAAGCTCTTCTACCCAGCCTCCCCCTTCGGCTTCCAGCTTCTTCTTCAACCCCTCGAGGAGGGTGCGGTTGGCATTCTCTACTTGCCCGTTGCCCTGAGGGTAGGCAACGGATGAAAAGGTGTGTTTGATACCCCATGCCTCCAGGAGGGCACAGAAGGGGGCTGCCTCGAACTGGGTCCCGTTGTCGGAGATGATTTGTTGGGGGACGCCAAACCTTGTGAGAATATTTTTGAGAACAAAGTGGCGGCACCGGGCCTCAGTGATGCTGGCGAGGGGCTCGGCCTCTACCCACTTGGTGAAGTAGTCAATTGCCACAATGATATACCTGTTGTTGGAGGTACCCCTCGGCAGAGGGCCTACTAAGTCGATCCCCCATCTTGAGAAAGGTATAGCGGTGCTGATGGGGGCATAGTTGACCGCTGGTCTGCCGGGGGCCTTCTGGAAGTGTTGGCAAGCGGTGCACCTCCGGGCTAGATCAGCACAATCTCTAGCCATCGTGGGCCAGAAGTAGCCCTGAACTATGAGCCTTCGGGACATGGAGAAAGGTCCCTGGTGAGCTGAGCAAGTGCCACTGTGCACTTCCTCCATGGCGACTTCGGCCTCATCTTGATGAAGGCACCGAAGGAGGGTGCCGTTGTAGGATCTCTTGTAAAGCCTCCCGTTTTCGATGGCGTAGCTGGGAGCCCTCAGCTTTGCTAACCTGGCGCGGGCTTCGTCTTGGGGCAATTGCCCTGTGGTGATGAAGGTGATGATGTCAGAGATCCAATCCTCCGGCCTCAGGTCAATGTTCATGACGGGGCTCGCGTGGATGCTCGAGAGGCTGAGTTCTTCAATTCTTGCAATTTTGGAGAGGTGCTCGGGGGATTCATCCGAGAGCTTGGATAGAATGTCGGCCTCTGAGTTTTGAGCCCTCGGTATTTGGGTAAGAGAATGTGCCTCAAACACCTTGAGCAACTCTTTAGCCGCTTCTTTGTACTGCTTCATCCTCCCTTCCTTGGCTTCGTACGCCCCGGAAATTTGACCCACGACGAGTTTGGAGTCACATTTGACGTGGATCATTTTAGCCTTCAGGTTTGCCGCTAGCCGAAGGCCACAGAGGAGGGCCTCATACTCGGCTTCGTTGTTGGAGACCTTGAAGGAGAAGCGAATGGCGTAGTATGCGCGGAAGCCCTCGGGTGTGATGAGAACTACTCCCCCTCCGCATGCTTTGGTGGCCGAAGAGCCATCGGTATAGAGTGTCCACCACTCATCGAGGGGTGCCGAAGGCTCCTCACCCATCGCTGATCTCGCGGTGCATTCCGTGACGAAGTCTGCCAGGGCTTGGCCCTTAATGGCAGGCCTCGGACGGATATCGATGTTGTATTGACTGAGGAAGATGGCCCATTTCACCATTCGGGAGGAACTTGTGGGGCTTCTCATGAGGGCGCCGAGGGGTTGATGAGTGAGCACCTGGACTGGATGAGCTTGAAAGTAGTGGCCAAGTTTCTTGACGGT